CGGAGAATGCTGAGAGTCATAGCCAGTCCCCGATGAAGTTCTCCTGGATATAGTAAGATCAAGGTCAAGGTTCAAAGTGAGGTCAAGGGAGTGGGAAGGGTCAGACTGGGCTCTATCCCCAAAGGCGGCCCTAAGGAGGGGGACTGAAAGGAAAAATCCAAGGGAGGAGCCAGAACCAGGGCAGGTAGCTGGGGAGGGTGTGGCTGGCAGCAGGGGACAGGCCTGGGCAGAGAGGCAGGGTTGGGGTGGGGAGGAGGTGAAGGTTTGGGTTCAGACAACTTGCATGGGAGTGGAGCAGGCAGCACCGAGAGTAAATGAGAGGGTGGCAGAGGGGAGGGGAGGGGATTCTGGAATCTGGGAGATCTCCCGCAGTGGGAGATCAGCCGAAGAGTGAAAGAGTGTGGTGTGTCATTTCTCTGACCCTTCGTCTGTTCCTTTTTGGCTGGGGCATCTAATGGAGAGGGGTTAGAGGCCAAAGTCTGAGGTCAAAGTTACACTCATCTTGAGTTTGTCTTTCCCCTCACTCTCTGTCTGTTACTCTATGGGAGGAAGGGTCGTCCATGAAGGAGTCTGGACCTTCCCCCTGGGGCTGGCTCCTAGATCCTATGCTGAGTCCCTAACACCTTAGAGGCATCTTGTTGATAGGGGAAGTCTTTGCTCCACCTCTTGGGGTTCTCCAGAGGCCTGAGAGGGTGAGGCAAGCATCTTAGAACCCTGTGGTGCAGGAGGAGAGAGGGAAGGGGAGCATGTGCTGCCAAGGCAAGCACAGGCCTGTGTGCATGGGAAAGCAGAAGTGGGTGTGCTTGCTCACAAATGTGCATGTAACCCTGGTGTCTATGTCCCCACTGGTGTGTTGTATGTTTGCTTTATCAAGACTACAGGGAACAGAGTGTGATAGGAGGGAAGGGAAGCTGTGCCCTCTTCTTCCTCTTTTTTTTTAAAAATATATTTTATTTTTTTACAGAGAGGAAGGGAGAGGGATAGAGAGTTAGAAACATCGGTGAGAGAGAAACATCCATCAGCTGCCTCCTGCACACCCCCCACTGGGGATGTGCCCACAACCAAGGTACATGCCGTTGGCCAGAATCGAATCTGGGACCCTTGAGTCCGCAGGCCGACGCTCTATCCACTGAGCCAAACCGGTTAGGTCCCTCTTCCTCCTCTGGAGGTGATACCTGTGGTTCTGAAGACCTAGCCCTGTTTGTCCTCTGAATTTGGTGACAGTATCCCTGGGACAAGGAGCTTACTGTACCACACTAAGCTACATGGAGAAACTGAGGGCAGGTTGGCACAGGACGTAATGGAGTTCTACTTAAAATAAACTGAAAAAGGCTCAGAGACCTAAAGCAAGATGAGAGAGAACTACACAGGCCAGAAGGCACAGTCATAAGAGAGAACCCAGACACTGGGAGTGGCAAAGGAGAATAAGCAGGCGGTAAGGGTGGCAAGCAGGAGGCAGGGAGGCCTCCTCCAGGAAAAAAACGCCAGCCGACTGCCTCCTTCCCCTCCCCTCCCAGTCTCTCCTGCTCAGGCTCGGGCTCCAGCTCCAGCTCCAGGCCGACACAAACGGGGCTTTGATTGCAACAGGAAACCTCTCTGGCGGGGGGAGCTGGGCAAGCCGCCGCTGGGGCCTAGGCTGCACCCCCCTCTCCTGGCCCCCTACCCAGTCCCAGCCCCCATCCTGCCAGCGCTCCTCACATCCCTGCTTTGGGCTGCGTCCCTCATTCACACATCCATTGCCTTTTAGTTGGGACTCCTAAGTTAGGACTTACCCTTGGGGCTGGGACTTCTTTGCTTTGAGATGCCACCTCTTCAGTTCTTTTTTGAGGAAAGGTTTTGGAAGAAAAGGCGAATTTAGCACGAGGGATTTAGAACCAGTTATCTTCCAGCCCCGTCCAGAAGGTGGCAGGAGGGGGGAAAGGAGGGGTGCGTAAGGAGTTAGCTGTCCCGCCCTCCACAGTCCCTCCTTGGCTAAACTCATACTTGCCAGAGTGGTAGAGGCTCTGAGGGGTGACCATGCAAGACTCTGAGTGCTAATGGCCTGGTTAGTGGGGGAGGGGTGCCCTTCTCTTTGCCTCTGGGGCCTTGCCTTTGTGGGGCTCTAGCTGGAAGGAGTGCGCCACTGTGGTGGTGGGGATCATAGGGAAGGGGGTGAGTCAGGCAGCAGCCCCCCTTATACTCCCACCAGGCTGGTGGAGAACATCTGTTTCCCATGAAATGCTAGAAGGCTAATGGGTCTAATTGCTGCAATAAGGGCTGGGGAGACTTTGGGGAAAAGAGGGGGCACTAGATTCCCCCATTCTCTTACCTTCTCTTCAAGGTCATACTAAGACTATCTAGAATGGGGGGTTGGGGTTGATGGGAAGGATGGGTCTGACACCCTAATGCCTGGTCCCTTAAAAGGCCCCCTCTCCCTGCAATGCCTGGGAAGTACACATGGATGGGGCGATGAGGAGTGGGGTGCATCTGGTGAAGAGCAAGGGGGGTTACTCAGGACTCATGACTTCCTGGAGCCCTCCCCCCACTCCTCCTGTGCCCCACTCTCACCCTCCTCCCTGTGGCCTGGCCACTTCTGGTTCTAATTACCAACCAGGCAGGCCTGACTTAATTGGGACCTTTCAGATTTTGGAGGGGGAAGGGTGGGTGGGTGGTTGGGTGGGGACTGACAGCCTGGAGTTGGACTAATCAGGGCTCTTTTCCCTTGTCTTTGAGGTAGTATTCCTCATTTTGCACTTAATTGTTTTGTTTTTGTTTTTGCCACTGGCCAGATTCTGGTTCAGAAATCGATCACTCCCTGTTTTAGTTTTTGGCGCGGGGATTGCTGGATTAGAAATGGGGTATTTGGGGTTGGGGGCAAGAGTAGGGAGCTCACGCTGGGTTGGAAAGAGCACTGCAAGCCTCTTCATCCCGGCTTCCAGCCCCCCCCCCCCCC